TACAAAAGTACACTAAACAAATAATAGGTGACTATATTGACTCGGGGAAACAATGACGTGATACTTCCTGAGGGAAACCCAAAGCCCACAACCAATAGGCTCTTGTTACAACCAACCCCTTCAGTATCTTGCATATGCTGATGACATAGCACTGTTTAATGCAATAAAAGCTTTTTATATTTCTTTACTACCTTCCCCTGAGATGCATCATTACAAGAAGGGCTGGAAGTAAACAACCAAAAGTGAAATACATGACTATGTTAAGAGCAGAACAGACAGATGGAAACATTAAAATTAGAAACTACACTTTTAAAAAAGTAAATCAATTCAAATACCAAAGTTCCATAAAGAAATTAAAGAAATGAATTGCAAACAGAAATAAAAGAAAGAATATCATCCGGAAACATGTCATACTTCAGGGACAGAAATTCTCAAAACATTACAAGAAAAATAAAGAAAACTATTTATAAAAATGTAATCAGACCAGTTGTAACACACGCAACTTGGACCCTAACAAAAAACGGCAGAAAACCTATTAAACATATAGGAGAGAAAAGTTATCCGGAAAATATATTGGACCAATAAAGGATGAATATTGATGGAGATTACGACCCAACCAGGAATTTATAGAATATATTAGTATTAGGATCCCACGCCAGTAACATAAATAAAAAAGGGCAGGCTATGCTGGGTGGGACACTGACAAATAATGACAGAGGAGTGAAGAGAGTGCACCACCAAAACCCCAGAGGAAAACTGCTCAAAGGCAGACCTAGGCGTAACTTATTTCTGACGGCAGTGCTTCTTCCTACTGTACTTAATTTATATTCCAGAGAAAGGGAAGTAACTCTGTTTTCCCATTGATTAACCTTTGTGAATATTTTTATATTTTTTAAAGCTTCTAAATATTATTAATATTAATGAATTAAGGATTTATGCATCCAGAAATGATTTAGATTTATTAAAAAAATATATAAAATTAGCGTTAAACAAATAGTCTAACGAGCAATGACCAAAAAAATCTTTTTTTTTTTTTTTTTTTTTGATTATGACAGTGTCCAGAAATGATGGATTTTGGCAGTTTCCAGAATTTTTTTTTTTTTTTTTTTTTTTTTGCACCCGGAGGATGAACACATGCTAGAATTATAGAATTACAGGTACTGCACTAAAGCAAACATAGATTGAAAATGTAACGAGATAGAATGTTCCCTTTTTAAAAAAAAAAATGTGACATTGCTATCATTGCGAGATTTCTTTGCTATTTTAAAATTGAAAGATATGTCGCCATATGCCGGGACATATTTGGACACATTGGATTGAACCCTCAAATGACACATCTGTCGTAATGAGCTATATGGATGATGATGAGGGAAAGATCTACAGCAAAACAGGGATAGATGGATGGATTTTGGTTTTGAAAGTGGGGGTAGGGGTTTCCTGTCCCCAGAAAATTATGGCTGTAGTGAAAAGAATTAGAATACAGGTTCTTTGATTTTCAAGCAATCAAAATACATCTCTTGTAGCACACCTTGTGCAACAACAAGGATGTGTTTCATTTTCATTTTTTTTTAACCTTGTAAGTTAAATTTTAATAAAAATGAATGGAAAAATTTCATTTTAATAATCTTCATATTAACTGCATCTATCATTCAGATTTAATTTTTGATGCGACAAATGCTTAGTGAAGAACAGAAGCGTTGGCTTTCAGATCCAACAATTGGTATTTTCTCTGTAAGTCCAGTGTTGGGATTCCCCAAAGTGACGTCACTCCACCTGACAAACATGTACCGCTAACCCAAAATTAATGAAGGTCAATATATGTACAAGTGGAATAGTGGAACTTAATGGCCTTAAATTTAAATTTTTATTCATTTATAATCTACATATGTATTTTTGTTCTTTCCCCCTCTTGGAGGCATTTTGCGTGGCATACTTAGCATCATCTCTCATGGCAGATGGTGTGCCATGGCACTGGTTGAGGAGCTCTGAATAAATGCATTAGAAAATGAGCAGTGCAAGCAAGTAAAAAAGCTTTGCAAGTAGCGGTATTAAAAGTTTGGTTTCATGCCTGCCTTTCAGGATGTACTTTCAATGGCTCTAACATTGTGATGTTGTGAATGAAGAATCAATGATGAATGGTCATTGTCTTCACTTAAAAGGATACTTGTGTTGTAAATTTTTCACTAGTACTAGTATAATATTTTATTTATTGTCATTTAATTTCATTTACTAATGTTTCATTACTGTAATTAGCTGCATAAATTTCATTTCATCCTTTAAATAAGCTTAAAATTTCAAAATTTCTCATTTCCCTGCTGGCCAATTCAGTCATACCGTTCAAGCATGATACATTTCCTGTTTATGAGCATGGATGTTGGTGAAACAAAAGCATTGTAATACCAAGGAATACCAAGAGAAAAAAGGTAATTTTAATCATGAATGTTCCCAAGGTTAGATGTCATCAGATGAAAGAAAACTAAAGAAGGACAGAATTTAAAAAATTGAGAAAAGTAAATTTAGTTAACAAAACTGATAAAAATATATACAATTTGTTTTTGTGATGCATGTAATGGTGCCCTGACAAAGCTAGGTCAGTGCAGTGACAATGAATGTTATTGCTAAATTTCACCGTCAGACCTTCCGGCAACATTGTTAGACTAGATTTAATTGAAGAAATCAAGGGCTTGGTCTTTGTGGTATGTCTGTTTTAATAACAACCAAAAAATCTTTTTTTATAATATATAGAATTGAATGTTAAATATGATTTACCTTGCTCACTGTCAGTCTCATTATAAGGCACACACAAACTTTGCTTTGACACACCAAATAAAACAGACCTGGTTACTCTAAAGATGTTAGTTTACAAAGACGATTTTGAAATATTTACCACTGCACATTGAGACCTGTCAGAACTACGATTTTAAGGGACCAGGGTAAAAAATATTTCTGCTAGTTTGTCTGAAATACAAACAATACATTTTTGGTTGTTAGATGTTGCTCCTTTCTACATCCCACTAAGAATGGACCGAGAAATGATTGGTTGGGGCACCATCTATAATTATATTAAGTACACACTGAGGGGAAGAGGGGTGCTAGGACCTAGGAGATTTTCTTTATGGGTGCACATGTGGAGGGCTGTCTAAAATATTTTTAAAGGTGAAAATTACTTTAGTTTAAAATCCCCGGGCTCTGTTTTTGTGAGGAAAAGAATTCAAATTTACATTAGTGATTATTTCTTAGATTCAAACTCAAGCCTAATTTAAAGAATTTTTAGAATCGTAACATAAAAATAACACATGCATGCAAATCGGTGGGTTTTGGAATTACCAATTGTAAAAGTACAGAAACAGGGTAGCTTTTTCTTAATATAAAATTGCTGGTTATTTCTCTGTGACGTATGGCCAAACTTGGTATAAAAAATCATAAAATGGTTAAGCTTTCATACGGTACCACCAATATTATTTATGTTTAATAGCAGATTTTTGGGCCATTTTTATATTGACAAATTGTGCTATGTACTATTATAACCGGAAGAAAACAATCACCAATACAGAATAAAGCTTTTAAATTTCCTCTAAAAATATGGGTACAGGTGGATTATACTGTAATATGCCAAGGGAAATTAATATCAGGCCACATGGCTTAATAGAGGACAACAAGCCTAAATAGAAGCTTTTTCTAAAAAAATCGATCTCAAACGGTAGGATTTTCAATGACGTCCTCATTTTGAAAAATAATTTTTATTTTCAATTATTTATTTTTATAGTATGTATTTTATTATTAACTAACTTAGAATTGGACCACGTTAAATCTCAAAAGGAACTTTATTTTTACCAGTGACAGACTGCAACAATATTATGGTTACGTACACCCATATATTAATTGATATTTACAGCAAATGCACAGCTGCAATACAAAGCTACCACAGATTGCAATCTAAATATCAGTCATCTACCTGTGGAAGTGACTTCTTTTTTTTTTTTTTTTTTTTACATCAGCCTAACCCGATCCAGCTCAAAATGCGATGCAGACATTATTGTGGGGGGAGGGGGGTGAACCTGTGGAAGTGACTTCTTTTTTTTTTTTTTTTTTTACATCAGCCTAACCCGATCCAGCTCAAAATGCGATGCAGACATTATTGTGGGGGGGGGGGGGGGGGGCAAGGTGAGATGATATAGTGCTACTCTGAGGCGCTATTGTATTATTTTGGGAGTTTCAGGGTAACCCGGTCTGTAAAAAGAGTTATCAGATTCATCCAAGTTTTCACAAATATTTTGAATAAAGATTTAAGAGCACATTTGGTACTAGATGTGTTTGTTAATATCCATGCCGTGTTAACAGTCACAGCAGTAAAAAAATTGTAAGGTGTAAAAGCCAAGTACAAAAAATGTTCAAACAATGCTGAATCCTTTTAACCCATGCTGTTTCCTTTACAGTTAACAGACATGGCAAAACGTAAAAAGAAGGCAGTGAATCCAAAAGTTAGTAAGAAGAAAAAGGCTACTGTTCCCCAGGATGATGTCTCAGAATCGGATGCTACGGACAGACCATCATCAGCAAAGAAGATGGCCGCAACATCTTCAACGAGTCAGCTGGAAGATGAGTTGGAGCAAGTGCCTTGTTTCAACACCATCACTCTGAACCACACCACTAAAACAGACCATGGTGAACTGGCCCACTTTTGGTGCAAGTACTGTGAGTTTTCTGCCGGCTCTATGCAAGAACTGGTCCCACATATGGGACAGCATATCATCAAGTGCTCATATTGTTCTTTCAATAGTTTTTCACGGAGTGAAGTTGTCAAGCATTGCAAGTCTGAGCATGACCAGGATCTGAAGTGTTCATCACAAGAGGTGGACCTACCTAGTGGAGATTATGATATGGACAAAGATCCATGCACTGCTTGCATGTTTTGTGACTTTATGACTTATAGCACAATGCATCTGGAGAGGCACACTGTAACTAAGCACCCTGGGATGCATGCAAAGTCTGTTGCTAAGATGATTACAAAGCATGCCAGTGCTCAGGTGAGGAAAGAGGATGCAAATTTCTATCAGACCATATCTAATAATGTTCCTGACATTGAAAGGGACAGTAAAATAGCTCAGATAGTTATTGACCCTGATGAAGTCAGAAGTCCTAAAGACATAAAACCTGAATCAAATCTTGGCCTACTTGATGAAAGTGTATTAGAAAAAGAGAGGCTGGCAAGGGACTTGCTCTCAGATATTCAGAAATCATTCTTGGGAAAATCTGCGGGACATGACATTTCATCAACTGGAGAATTAAGATCACCCAAGTCAAGTAAGGATTGGGCAGTTAAGGTCGAAATTATGTATTGTCTTTCATGCCCTTACAGTAATGCTTACATTGAAAAACTCAAGTGTCACTCACTAGTGCAGCACCCTGTTGGTGCAGCGGCCGTAACTTTCAATTCACTTGGTGAACTAGCCAGTGCTGAAGATATTACATTCTATTGTGTTCGGGAGGACTGCAGTTTCAGCAGTGGTGATAGTTTGTCATACCAGAGACATCTTATGGGCTGTTGCTCCAGTCACAGTTCTATGAGTGTATTAGAAAAAGAGAGGCTGACCTCTACAATCTCTTACATTCTGAATTATCTCAAGAAATTAGGAATTAAAGAAGAGAGTGGATTTACAGAATTTGCCTCTCTATTTTTAGAGGTTCCGGAAACGCTTCAAGCTAAACAATCATGTCCTACTGCCCCAGCCAGTCAAAATTTTCTTCAAACTGTACACAGTTCAGAAAATGTTTACAAATACTCTGATCAACATAATGTTAGCAGAAAAAATTCATCGGGAAGTGAACACAGAGACAGTGTTGCGACGTCAGCAAGACCAAACAGTAACCCCCAGACTGCTTTAAGAGAAGATTGGAAATATGGTCAGTACGTTGATTGTGCACCACAGTCCAGTGGTCATGATGTAGTAAGTACATCAACGCCATCATCTAATGTTCACCAACTACAGCAGCAGCAATATCCACTGCAACAACTGATTGGCCAACAAGTTTATCCACCCAGTAACTCCATGTATAATAACCAACCTGAAAGTCTAGCAACTTCTGGCTTAATTAATCACTTTCCTTCAGACCAACAATACAATACAAATAGTTCCACCAATCAGAAGCCAGCGCAAAATCACTTATCTAACTCCACTTTAGACCCAAGAGCTCTAAATATGTCACTTCTGCCCAGTGAGCCTGAACCAAATAGAAACAGTTTCGATCCACAACCATTGAATCAAGGCAGGCAAAATTTGACTCAAAATGATCCTTTACTCTCTTCACACCATTTTGATCCTAACACTAATTCGGTGCAGGAGTTTTCCACTTTCAATAACTATAATCAAAATATTTTGCAAAATAATATTAAAGAAATTTCATACGGACTTCAACAGGTTATCCCTAATAATCTTTCCTCTGTCCCTGTAAATCAAGGACAAAACAACACAGCGGGCAGTTATCCTTTACCAGATAGCCGTGATTCCAATAGACAGATGGTAAACCCACAAGGAAGGACACAGCCCGTCTCTCATGTTGGTAATCCATTGATGGAACAAACACTTGGAAATCAATCCCATTTGATGCCCAGTTATGGGAGTGTCCAGGTTCAAGGTAATCAGAATCAATCATTGAATCTCACAGTATCACAAATGGCACCAGTTTCTGAAATGCCACAGGAGAGCTCATCAAATGTTGGCAAGCCAGGTAATAGTACACAGCATCTTGATAAAAGTGTGGAGGAAAATATTTTACAAATTCCTCCTGCACCTGTGCAACAGAATCTTGGGTTAGCAAGCTACACTGCTGTTGACAATGTGCAAGGAAATTATGACATCCCTCCTGGTGCTAATTTTTCTTCAACGTCTCGATTAGATTCTCAAACTGTTAACAGTCAGTCCAACCTACCCAATTTTCTAGTCACAACAAACACTCCAATGACAGCGTCAGAGCATGCCCAAGGAGCAATGATGGCACCTGCACTCACCCCAAGAAGTCATCCCGCCAGACAGCCTGCTCCTCAAGGGTTGGTAACCCCACCAAAAAATTTCAACACTCCTGGAAATGTTGCAGGTTCTTCCCCCCTCAGTCCAAGTATCTATTTGAGTGGTCAGGCTCCAAGGCATAGACGAACTAGTTGGACTGATGCTGATATGAGACCAAAGGGAATGTTACCCCCTATGCACACTAGAGCCATGAACCCGGGGATCCCACCTTACCCCCAGGGACACCATGCGCGTCAGAGACTCTTTAATGCTAACCCCTCCAGGGGATATGGCATTGGTGAGGCTACAAGGGGAACTAGAGGTCGGGGAAGAGGGCGAGCCGTTCACTTTTCTAGATCTATCGATAATGATGATGATGTTATTGTTGTTGGGGAACAGTTTCGTCAGCATTCTCCAGTGCGAGGCAGAGGGGTTCCTTTAAATTATCCACGTGGTGTAGGTCATACACCTCCAAGATTCTCAAAGCCTAACCCAGGCATTAGAGCACCAAGTTCAAGTCAGAAAGGGGCACCTCCTCCGAAACTGTTTGACATCAGTAAACACTTTGAAGATCTCGCCTGTGTTGTGAATTCAACTGGGGACGATGAAGAAGCAGGAAGGGGGGATGAAGATCTCCAGATCGTGGGGGTGACCCTTGCAAATGATAAAAGCAGTCAGCCGAAAGCTGTGGATGCTAGCAAATTCTCATTTTGCTGTGTCCACTGTGGAAAAGACCAGGGTTCAAAGAATGTCATGAAGCAGCACATGAAAGTAAGTCATAACGATACCTTGCTGGGGGCTTTCACAAACGTGGAGACCGGTCAGCTTCTCTTCTTCTGCCCACAACTAACCTGTGAATTTATGACTTATGATGAAACAAGATTAAGCGAGCACCTGACCAAGTGCTACAACCTGGACAGTGCCAAATCTGTTGACTTTGAAACAGCAGTAAAGAATCTTAAGTCTTTAAAGATCAGGCAGCTGGATGTCAGATCAATGGGTAGTCATGATAACCCTATTCATTTGGATGGGCAGGGAATGAAGGACAACTTCAGCAGCAGTCTCAATGACGCTTTTGACGATATTGTTGTGAACACATCAGGGAGGCACATCACTAAACAGACAACCCCCAAACATCAAATGCCTCCAACTCAGGTAAATCCGCCACGGAATCCACCTCACCCCGGAGGTCCTGTCCCAGCATTCATGCCGTTGAGACAGCAGCAAGGTTATCCTGGAATGAGACAGAAATTTCCTGTTAATCCATATCGAACGGGCAGGCCTCACATCAATGTTAACAGGCCGATGGGCTTCCGCAATATGAGGCAGCATCACCCTGCCATGCATTCTAACTACCGTCAACCTGTTGCTGTTAATGCCAACCCTGGAATGGGTGCTAGAGGGATGTATCCAAGAATGAGACCACCATTTGTTAGAGCTTTACCTCCACCACCACCTCATGTGCAGCAGCCAACTCAATCTGGGGGTGAGCAAGAGCCCATAGTCATAGACCTTGATGAGGATGATGATGACAACAGTCATAGAAAGGGGAGTGGATGGGAATCTGCTTCATCACACGGACAGTACCCTCACAATGGACAAATGGGTGGCTTTTCTGGTCCAGTTGGAATCACTGTCCCTGATGCTGTGCTGATGACCAATGAAAACTTGACCACCAGTCATGAGTCAGAAATATCAGTAAGAGATAACTTTCTAAATGAATCTTACCCAACCTATGGCAACACAGCTCAAGTGCCAACAACGTCACAACATAACTCAACCAACAATGAACTGTCAGGCAACACTTCTAGTCAAATTCAGTTAGACGGCACCCAAGTCCCTATTCATGACAGTGTAAGTATGAAACATCGGTTGAATAGACCAGCCACGGGTTTGTTTGATGGCTCGCCAGTCATGCATTCATCTAGTCAAAGCTCAGATCAAGTTGATCCCACAGCTGCCTTACAAATTGTAGTTAAAACCTTCCCAAAGCTACAGTTACCAAATCACGGGGCAGAGTCGGGTGATTATTATCACTCACGCAAGCAAAACCCAGAGACTGGAGATACTGTTTATTCGCAAAGACAGAATACAGAAAGAGGATCCAATACTTACGCACCAGTGCCTTACACAGCTGGAAATAATAATGATTCATCATCTCTAGAATCGAGTGCATCAGAGTCTTTCCCGTATGAACATTCACAAAGTTCTACAACTGAATCCACAGCCTATCAGCAAAATTCACAAAAGCCTGGATCATCCTCTGAATCTATCATTGGTCAACAGATGTTGAACACTTCAATGGAATCAACTGTTGTCCCGCAAAGAAATGACAGTTCTTCTCAAGGAATCGGTACTTCAACGCATCCAGAATATTTTAATGAAGAAGAAAAAATTTATGCTATTGTCCTAGAGAAAGTTTTTGCCAAAGTTCCCAATATGCCTAAACATCTTTCTCACCGGCTGGTCTCAAAATTTAAAGAGTATTTAAACTATAGAGGGGTTAAGATAACTTCTGACTCCAATGTGATTGATGAGTTTGTCAGCAAGATTTCCTACAAAGGATCAAATGGAGATAAGATGGGAGCCAAGTCCTTGCCACTGCCTCCAGCCTTGCCCCAGCCTCCCAGTTCAGTAACTACTTATCCTATAACAAATGAGAGAGATGAACCACCTGATACAGCTGAACCACCTGATACAGCTGAACCACCTGATACAGGTGAACTACCTGATACAGCGGAACCACCAGATTCAGCTGAACCACCAAACACTCCCCATGAAACTTGTAACCGGGAGCAGCCTCATGACCAATCTGAGGATAATCCACGCTCTGAACAACTGTCCCCGACACAGAATGACTTATCAGAAGTTATTACTACTCGTGTTATTTTGCGAGAGCGGAACATGAAGTTCCCAGGGTTGTTTCCTACTATTTCTCCCAATCCTACAGCATTAAATAACAGAAAGACAATTTTAGTTTGTGATCAACAACAGCAGGGGGCATCATCTTCCTCTCACAGTAGTGCCAGCTTTTTACCAGGTGAAGACTTACAGTTTAAATTGGTAAATCGGGGCATTAAAGATAATCCAAATTATTTGGGAGAGTCAGAAGGTTCTCAGAATGATCTAAGAGATCCTCTATTGGATAGCATTTCCAAGAAGTTAAACTGTGACTTCAGTACATCAGTTGGTATTTCTAAACCCAGTGACGGCAATGAATTTGAAAATCTTCCTGTAAGTCAAGCATCAAACTTACATGACAGTTCTACCGGTGACAACAATGCACTTGAAACTCTTCCTGATAGTCAAGCAACAAACATAAAGGACAGTTCCACCAGTGACAGCAATGAATTTGAAACTCTTCCTGTAAGTCAAGCATCAAACTTAAATGACAGTTCTACCGGTGACAACAATGCACTTGAAACTCTTCCTGATAGTCAAGCATCAAACATGCAGGACCATTCTTCCAGTGAGGATAATGCGCTTGAAATATCTCCAGAAATTCAAAAATCAGATACTCAGGACACTTTATTTGTTAAATCATGTTTACAAAGAAATACACATGTTGATGAGTCAGGCAGAAAGTTTTTGCTAAATCCATCAAAGGCACCAGCTCGGAGATTCAGTGCCAATCCCATTGATGAGCGCGTAAGATGTTGTAAAGTTCGTCGGTCTGGCTCTTTTCCTGTATATCTGTCTACCATGGGTCAAATTTCATCTAAAGCACCTTCCAAAAATGATATTTTGACCTCACCTTTAACTGACCCAGCGCTGCCTGAACTTGCAAATAATCTCAGATCTGTCTGCGTACCTCTGGCAAATGAGGTGGAAATGGGATTGGAAGTTTGTATACCTTCAGCCCCCTATATCACACAAGACCGCCCCGTCCTGTCTTTAAAAGAGGTCATCTACCCTTCCCCATCTATTTCTGACAAAGACCCGATCCTGATCACATCGAGCGTTGATTATCTCGTCTCAGGTCACGCAGACCTTGAAGTTGACATCGCTGGCAAACCTGATGACTCCCACCTGCTTCATGTGGGGAAGTTTGAACCACCAGATGATGCTTTTGAGCAAGAGACAGGAATCATGTCCGAAGGAAGAGACAAATTAGAAATGGAGCAAAGGAAAAGCAAAAGGAAAAGTAAGAAGAAATTCATGAGAGACTTGGAGTCAACAGTTTCTGCTGGTTTGACAAAAAACAAAAATGTGCTTTATTCTACTGAAAAAAAGATTACGCATCCAAAAAAAGGTAAAGGAGATTTGAAATCCAATATGAAGAGTCGTTTCGTCGACCAAAAGACTGGGAAACTAATCCTGAAAGTGTCAAAAAGAGGAAGACCAAGAAAATTAGCAGAATCTCATGAAAAAGTTAAAAAAGAACCATTGAAAGTTCAGGAAAACATGTCAGAGGATTATGTCAGTAAGGAGGCGACAGAGGAAGATAAGGAGGTGACAGAGGAAGATAAGGAGGTGACAGAGGAAGATAAGGAGGTGACAGAGGAAGATAAGGAGGTGACAGAGGAAGATAAGGAGGTTAATGAACCACCTGAGGAAAAAATGTCTTCTCTAGAACCATCTAAAGAATTGATCTCTGAGTTAGCAGTGCGCCGATCGGATAGGAAACGTAAAATTATTAAAAGTGATTACCGCAGTGAACTGGCAGATATTGATGACTTTATATCGGATAGTGATGATGAGTATAATATTGATGATGATGACTCTGAAAGTGATTGCAAGTGGAAAACTGACACTGTAAACTCAAGTGTACTGAAAAAACGAGTTAGGAAAGCTAAAGCCCCCCCGGATCTTACTGCCTTTAATACATCCACTAAAGGAAAATATAAGTGTTGGCTGTGCAAAAAAACATTCCTTAAATGCATTGGTGGTAAAGCTCACATCATTAAGAAGCACAAGCAAGGCTTCTGTACCATTGACATGGTTCAGGTTGAGGAAACCAATGAACCGCACTTGCTTTTATATTGCCCCAGAGAATGCAAGTATGCAACATTTAGTTTGGAGGGACTAAAAAATCACCTGGCAAACTGCGAGAAACCCCTGCTTAAGGAGGATGGAGAAAACTGGCTGGAGATTAATACAAACTTCATTGACACTCTATATCCAGAGGTTGGTAGTGTATACGGGTTTCTTTGCTTTACCTCCTTTTTTTTTTTTTATGCTACATATTAGGCTTAGCCTTTTAAAATTAAGTAAGAAAATGAAGTGAAGCAATATGCAAGCTACATTAACAAAATAGGCCTACTAACCAGGCATCCAAAGGAACTGGCAATTGACCATCAGTAGGCGAAGATATGAATAACGACTGAAGTATTTTATATTCAGTGAAATAAATTAGACAATTAATTACATTGCCTTTTTCATTTGAATTAACGTGTCCTACATAGTTTGAATTTAGCAAAATCAAGCTAACCATCTACACAAAAGACTCCTCTCTTCTGAAACTAATGACCTCAGAATGACATTTTCTTGAAAAAAAATATTTTATTTCTATACTATACTATACTATTTTTCATCTATTTTCTTAACCATTTTCATTTCTAATAGTATCCCATCTTTAAAAATAAGTAAAGCTTTTTATCCTATATAGTCAATATTTCCTAGTTTTTCATTATTGTTATGCTAAATCTTTTTATCCTATATACCGGTAGTTAACGGTACCTATCATTATAATGCAACTAAAAATAGCTAGTAAACCAATTCTGTAAACTGTAGAGCATAGAAGATATCCTAAAATATATTAAAAATACTAATGATAAAAGAAAATATAACTAAAAATTTATATCATTATCATGACATAAAATACAATGACTTCTCTATTGCTCTAATCGCTTTTCCTTGCACCCCCCTGAAGTGCCTTCTTGCGATCACCCAAGGTTGGGAAACCTATTTTAGTAAGTGGCAAGCAATGTTTAACAATTGCCATTTAACATCAACAGGGAAATCTTACACCTTTGCCTTTGTAATTATAAGGGATGACATTCGAAGTGTATCTGTTACAAAATTATTGTATTTTAAAGCACTTGTTTTCTCTTATTCTCTTACCAGTTATTAAAAACAGGAATCAATGATTTACTTGGTGCTTCAAATGCCAAACCTGCAACTAAAGATCCTGCAAAGGTTGTGAAACGTAAAAAGAAGAAGTCCACATCTGAGTCTGTGACATCCACTGCTTCTGTTCTAATCTCCCATGGTGAAGCTCAGGTCACAGTGGAACCAGATGATAATGTGATCAAAGTCTCCAAAACTTCAGCAGAACAGGCAACTAGTAACAGTACACCTATAAAAACTTTTGGGGCTACTCAAGTTACTGGCTCTGTGACAGCCAACATGTGTGACACTTTAGCAAGCTCTACCATATCCAGTCCACAGTCTTTGTCTCTGGGTTCTCCTTGCCATATTCCAATAGTTAGTAGACCACACCTGGTATCCAATATGCATCAGCAAATATTAAATGCACATCCTATACCGTTACATCCACAATCTGGTCTGACACAATCTGGTTCAACTGTACAAGCACAGTTTGTAGCAAGACAGTCTGTGCCTCTCTCACATCCAAGGATTGCATACTCTCAAAATGCTCATACAAATAATGTACACTCACAAGTCCCAAAGTCACAACAGAGCAATTCAAGATTTGTGACCCCTTCAATTCGCCAAGACACTCCTCGATTTTCTCAATCATTGTCTGTAGCATCTTCAACATCATCATCATCAAAACAGATGCCCCCATCCTCCCAGCAGCAACAGTATAGGTTTGAACAGTCAAATTTTGCACCAAGGATACATCATCCCGGTGCTTTTGACACCAGCTCTCCAGTAAATAGACATTACAGCCATCCCATTCCAAGACCTAATCATCATTTAAAAGCAGTAAATCAGAGCCTTAAGCCAAATGTTAGAGTAGTGGGGCAGCAAGAGGCATTCAGTGCCCCACATAAACCAACAGTTGCTCACCAGCATGGTGCAAATCAATCAAGAACCTGTCAAGATGCAGATATTTATATGATAGAAGACAATGGAACAATATGCATTGAGTGAGCTCATTTTTCCAACTGTGGTTTAATAATGTGTTCAAACAAAAACTTTTCTTAATAACATTAGCATGATTTTCCTTGCATTAAAAAAAAAAAGAAGATGCATTATTTTTACTACCGGGTATTACTAAAAATCCTTTTGTATTAGACAAAATTTTCAAAGCCAAAGAATGTGTTTGTACCCATTTTTAATTTTGTTGCTATCTTTTACTTTTTCCCTCTTTCCTTTTTTCACCTCCTATTACAAGATGTATCAAGTGTTTATTTACTCATTGCAGTAGCTGAATAAAATATTTTAAAATGTTTTAAACCTTTTTTAATGGAGATTAATAATAATGTATTACTCATAATATGCATGCATTTAGAGATAGGTTTGGTTAATTTTTAATTGGTAACAATGTGGGGCTCACATTTTCTTTAAGTAAGCATTAATTTCTTACAATGAAACAAAATTCTGCAGCTCTCATCACCATTTTTGTGTGAAACAAACTGTAAAAGTTATTCAATTAATGTGGTATTTAAAAGGAACATTTTTACTAAACCAAATAGTGCGAGTGCAGGTTCCGGTATAAATAAATATGTTAGCATATCAGAGTAAGCACTAAAATAAAAGTTATAGTTAAAATGAGGGGTGCAACAGATAATCATCTTGCCATAATACATATTGATACCCAATAGGACAGATGAAATAACAAGTCATTGTATTACTCAATTACTTATTCAAATTTGTTCACCTCATAATTGGAATAATATAAAAAAAATTTTTGTTTTTTTCCCATATAGTAATACAAAGACTTGTTAGTAAAATAAAAATAAATGTAAATTATGTAAATATTTTCTCTCCTTACATTTACATCTATTTCTTACAGATGGGAGCATTATTGTGATGACATATAATAAAACATATTTTGACCTTACATTAAAGATAATTCCACTTTAAAAGATTCAATAAGTAATCTATAAATACATTTACAGAAATTTTTTAATATTAGCAACCATTGTAAAATTTCTCCCAGTGTGATGTTATTTCTATTTCTATTTAGAAAGTTGAGTGCCCCACTAGCCGTGAAATTGTCATCCTCAGAATAACTCTTCTATGAATATTTAGTAGCTAAGTTATTATTTTTTAAATCTCAGTAACAGAGGGGATCACCTCTCCATCCTCCCATAACTTCTTGAATGCATGCCATTTTTATTTGCCATGATATTTTTGTATAATAAAGTCTGTCCCACACTCAAAGTATTCAATTCCTGAGCATACTGAGATGATACAAATGCAGCACTGTGTTACTTTTTTGTATGTTTTTATTTGAAGCTGCTACTCTATTCCATTTTCAAGATATGAAACAAGTCATAATTTAAACTAAGCCAATACCAAAAAAATGATTACAAAGAACAAATTTGATATTTGGGGTCTAATGATAGCATGGTCAATTCAGTTTGCAAATTTGACTTTAATTACTTTTTACATTGTGAGTAACTCTGCCAAAAGGTTTGTTTTTTTAATGAGGGAGAATGACTACCATTAAAATCATATTTTTTATTATTATTTTAAATTGTGAGGTACTTTAATGTTTTAGTGACTGTTACATGACTAAATTTCTATTTACTTAATTTTTAAAAATTGGTTATAGATATTTGCAAGTCATTTCATTAATTAATAAAAGTTACTTGAGAGTTAATTTTTCAGAATCTCAGTGCTTTCTCATAGTTCATTAACAATGAAAGTTATATTTAAAATGATTTTATTTGTTTACAATTTTTTGGCAAAGAATTTTTATATGATTTTTTTTAGAAAAATGTTCTTTTTTTTTCTTTTTTTTTTTTGTTGTTCATTAAATGAAACAAATAATCAACTGCTTAACATCCATGTCCTAATGAATGCATATATTAATGCAAGAATTTATTGCAACCAAAATAATGCCAGATGTGGACGATCCTAAAACAGTTTGCTAACATATTTCCAGAACATACAACCCAATGTTACCTTAAATTATTTATTATTAAAGTTAAAGAAATAAAAATACAACTATTTAGATGATTTTTATTAAATGCACTTTTATTGTGCCTAAGTAAAACGTTTATTAGAGTTGGTATTGAAACTTGTATATAATTATATATATGTAATGGAACAGTTTGCCTCGGTCCTTGAGTGATTTTATAAATGGTAAAAAATTATTTAAAGACATTTTTCTTTAAATAGAGTTTATGACAGAATGCTTTGAGCATGCTAAAATACCATGGACACAAACGTTATAAAAGTAATCAATCATCATGTTAATATTGGGGAAAACTTTAACAAAATATAGCTGATTGATCTGATATGAAAAAGTATTTAAATGTTAGATTTTAATTATTCTTTTGGTGACATTCAAAAAGTACATTCACACTGCAGATTTGTTACTGGGATTCTCAGCTTTCTTCGACCACTTGCTACCCACTGTGACAAAATCAGGCTAACAATTTTTATTTTTATGGTTTGTTGAGAGTTGCAGTATATTTTCAATGGACAATATACAGACGCAATCCTGTCGTATTTTTTATCATTGCGCATGCATTATCAGCTGACAAGGTTTGTTTAAAATAATTTTAATGATTAGTTGAATTCAAAAGTATTATTTAGTATGAGCATATTTTGTAAAGTAGATTAACATTTTTTTTTTAATTTAGGAGTTTGATTTTATTGTAATGTGCGAGATGAGACAAGATTAGAGGACAATGTCTTGTTCTTTTAAATTTAAAGATTTATTTTCTTCCCAGCACAGTTGGTTATTGGTAAAATCATATTGAAAAGAAAAAAGATTAATTTAATCCTTTATAGGGCCACATGCAAGTTACTGACCCTTGTGCTAGGCTACTTCTAGCAGATACATTTAAATTTTATATAAATTTAAAAGTTGTGCATCAGAAGCCATAATTGTGCCTGCTCAGTGTGAACACCTACGTAGGATATCCATGTCAGTGGATTCTCAACATGGACTCACCACTGAGAATTGTGGCTTAAACAGAGCTGCATTGTGAACATACTTCAGGGCAGCTAGCGTTTCATTCTAAAATATGAAAAATGTAGATGTTACCCAACATGTAGAATGATACTTTGAAAGAAAAATTATAGCTTATGTTTAAATTTATTCAGCTTATCATGACTTACATTTTATTTTGATTCAACACTCTTAAATTTATTTTTTTATATTTGAAAACATTCTTGAAATGCTTAAAACTAAAATGCCGGTAGTTAGAATAGTGAACCCAAAAGTTAGCATGAAAGTTTTGGAGATTTTGGCACACTCCTGATCCTGGCAATGTTAGCAAAGAGTTTTTTTAGATGACTGTTCAAACAATTTAATTGTCATTACTAAATGCAGTTGTGTTATAAAAGTCTATGATTGTACCGTATACAAATACAATCAACCCTAGTTTTTCATGGATTCCTCACAAAATCCTCTGATGATACTTTTTTGGAAACAGAGTTAATTTATTTTTAAAAAATGGTACAGTATTTTGAATGATGCTTGTGAGTGGTTTCTGCTTTGCATATTGTTATGTGGCAAGTTTTTGCTGGAAGTAATTAAATATAAAGTAAAGAAGAAATACCTATCTATCATTTATAATTATACTAATTTTATTGGAAATTATTTTAAAATCTTCACCCCCCTGTTTCTCTCTCTCTACCATTTGTCTTATTATTATTATTTATGATGTTACATATGGAGAATGTAATAAGACCCCCCCCCCCCCCCCCCCCCCCCCCCCCACCCCCACCCACAGATTTTAAGAACATTTTAATAATTCTGTTTTCTTGAAAATATGAAATAGAGTTACTCAAAATGTTGGAATCTAAAATAGGATTTAGTTAATTATTTTATTAAGCTTCATGTCTTTGCAGCTTGAAAAGACAACAAAAACGCTTAAGGGGTTGCTGTTCTTAATTTACTTGTACTGGTGACAGGAGAATTTTTAATTTGAAATACAAATTATATTTTTGTTAATTTCTAAAATTTAATGGTCAGTTGTTAACTTACGGCTTGAGCACAATAGAAAATTGATCTATTCTTTCTTTTCTTTTTTTTTTTTGTTGCTGTTTGTTGTTTTTTTAAAAATCAAAAATCATGTTTCTATATCTTGTATTAATCATTAAAGAAAAGCACCAAAGTGGTGTAGAAAATGAACTATCGTTGCTATTCTTCTTCATGGACAGTATTTTACACCAACTCTAGTGCTGTATATTTATCATTCTTGTCCTCAGGAACCCCCAAATGAATGATAGAAACGTCCATAACACTTTTTCTTTATTTTCTCTTCATTTATACCATCTAGGCTACCGGTACTTAAACTTTATCCATATGTATAAATTTATGGAAAAAATCCAACCCCCATGATTCTATTATAGAACAGCCATTTCAGTTGTCACAAATGTTTACAGGCATGTATTGTGGACCAGGTAAAATTTGGTGTCCCTAGAAAAAATAAGTGAAATAAATCATAAAAATTGTAATGCAGAGTTTTCTTTCAAATGCATTTATCTTCAATAATATAATTTGTTTAATTTCATCAGCAGGGCCATCCATATTTATCACGATAGTGTCTATACATTGTGACGAAGTTGTTGTTTGTTTATGTTTTTGTTGGTTTGTTTGTTTGTTGTTGGGTTTGTTTTGTTTGTTGTTGTTTTTTTTTGGGGGGGGGGGGGGGGGGGTTAAATTTTTTCCTTTTTTGGGGTGGGTGTGGTTGTGTTAAAATTCTTCCCTTTATGGACCTTTGATTTGTTACTTCTGCTGGCTTTTGAAACTGCTTTCTTGTAGTAGTTGAATTGATGCACGGTGTTTTCAGATTCTGATGCTCAGATCGTAACGGCTGGTTGAGGTTAAATATGGTTATTATTGATACTTTGCATTTAAAAATAACTTGCTTGTAAATGATTTTGAACTATTGGATCAGTAGCGTATCCAGGCCTTGACGCCAGGGAGAGCAAAGAAAGTTATTTTATTTTCGTAAAAGGCCCACACGC